AGTCAATCCGGGCAGGAAGGTCCTTGAAGTCAGTTGGCAGGTCCAGGTCCTCCATATTGCTTTCGTCCTCTGATTCCTTGATAGGTCCAAAAGAGGTGTTCAGGAAGCCTATCTGTAATGGGAAAATTCATTTAGTTATTTTTTTTCTTTGGTTTACACAGAGGTGTAGTGCATTCCAGCATATACTGGATGAAAAGCAAATGAATACCTATAGCACTAGCCAGAGAGATCGAGATCAAAGATTTTTATTGTCAATTCACTGTATATGCAGGACATACAGAAAATCGAAATAGCATTTCTCTCTCACCTAGTATTGAATGCCATACCATGTAGGAAACTAAAGTAGAATAAAAGTAGAGTAAAAATAGACTAAAAAGAATAAGAAAACTAAGTCAAAGGATAAAACTAAATGGTTCAACCTCATAGGTTATGACTCAAACTATGTTCAATAGTAACAAGAAGATTGTCAGATCGTTGTGAGATTGAGATGCACATGGACAGTGGTGCAAATGACCAACAGCAGCAAATATGATGGTAAAAACAGTCAGCAGCAGATTTACATGTAATATAACAAGAAGGGGGAATGTACTGGGTTTGTGCAAAACAGCAGAGGTAGTCTTTTTATGTTCTGTGGTGGGTCACGGTCCAGGGGCAGGGGGCAGAGGGGGGGTTAGGTAATGGACAGCGTTTAGCATCCTCACAGCCTGGTGAACAAAGCTGTTTGCAAGTCTGGTGGAGTGGGCCTGAAGAGTCCGATACCTTCTCCCTGAAGGCAGGAGTCTGAAGTGGGAGTGTGAGGGATCGGAGGTGTCATCAGCAATGCTGGTGAGGCAGGTGTTAAAAATGTCAATAAGGGAAGGCAGAGGGGCGCCGATGATCTTGCTGGTTATATTCCCTATGCATTGCAGGGTCCTTCTGCAGGAGGCAATACAGCCTCTGTACCACACAGTGATGCAGCCAGTGATATGGTGTTGTTGGTCCAGGAGAGGTCCTCAGAGATGTGCACCCCCAGGGTCTGGGTGCTGCTCACTCTCTCCAATACAGCACTGTCGATGGTCAGTGGTGGATGCTTTAGAGGTTTACTCCTGAAGTCCACAACAGTCTCTTTAGTCTTCCCCACACTGAGGGAGATGTTATTGTCCTTACACCACTGGACCGGTTTGCACACCTCACTCCCGTAGTTGGCCTCATCATTGTTGGTAATGAGGCCAACTAAAGTCGTGTCATCCGCAAACTTGACAATGTGGTTGGTGCTGTAGGTTGGCACAATGTCGTGGGTCAGCAGTGTGAACAGCAATGGGCTGAGCACACACCCCTGCAAAGCTCCTGTGTTCAGCGTGATGGTCTTGGAGATGTTGCTGTCGACCCGCACATTTTGTAGCTTGGGGTGGCAGATTTGAAATACATGTCAAGTCAACGTCAAAGTGTTTATTTTGTCATATGCACAGTTAGGAAACGTGTTTCCCTGTACAATGAAATTCTTACTTTGCCGTCCACATGAATGCCACAAAATACAAATGAAATATAAAGTAGATAAATAAGTAACACAAAATCTAAGGCACTTTAAGCAGCAAATGCAGCAATATAATAAAAAGGTGAGAAAGACTTGTACAGATTAGCGAGACAGAGAGATAGAGATGGGAAGGATGTGCAACA